CCATCAAACCATGACAACGTGCTTCTACTTATTATTATTATGACCCTTAGCTTTAGCTCTGTGATGGATTTTTGCACTCTGTTGTGCATCAGAATATGCCATCGGATTCCTCATCTAGTCAAACTTGGGAAATTTTTTTTAGATGTTTTCAGGCAGCTGGAATCACTTCAGGAAGTATGTCAGAGCCAACCACATCCATTGATCTAGAGATACGACCACGGGATGGATAATGCACACACTGCAGGATCTGCTCAAGCATACCTCACTGAGACGTGCAGAAAAGTCATAAATTGTGCACTGATGATGGGAAAACCAGCTGCAAACTCCCTCACACTAATATTTTGAGGAAATTTTTCATCACTGTGGATGTGTTTGTCACTGCATTCATGAAGGGTTTAATAGCTGAGATGAGCTATGTTGCTTATATCCCATCCTTTAGTGATGGGATATAAAACCAGCTCTGATTTGGTGCCTAAAGCTTCTGTTACGTGGCAGCTCTAAGTTTCTGGCTGAGAAATCTCTGAGAAATTATTTCCTGAAATAAGCCTCAGTACGTCAGCGATCCGCTCTCTTTCTACTAATAGATTTTAGAAGGAGATGCTATGATGTTCAGGATTTATAAATCATTGGTGATTATTTTAAAATCATCCTTAATTCAGTATCTGGGATGAAATCTCCCACAAGGACAGGAAATAGCAGTGCAGCACTAAGGAATCTTGGTGTTTCCTAGAAAACAAGGCAAATCCTGTAAGTCATACTGATGTCACTAAGGTAGGATTTTCCCCATTTTGTTTATAAACTGTGGTTTGAAATCACACCTTTCTTGTGTGCAGAAGAACAAGCCTCACTCGTGATCTGTTTCAAAAAGTACTAACTGAGCACGCAACAAAACTGTTAAACAGCATTTTCAGTCCGCTTGTGCACCATCGTTAATTGGACAATCCTTTCCTTTCCTAGGCCCAAGGACACTTACATTGGTTACTTGCCTCTGGCCCATGTATTGGAACTGACAGCCGAAATTTCTTGCATCACTTACGGCTGCAGGATTGGCTATTCCTCTCCACTCACGCTGTCGGATCAGGTGAGCAGGGAGGGGGAAGCTCAAACTCGCTTCTGCCGTCTGCGTTCTCCTTGCTCAGCTGTCCTCTTCCATTAAAGAAACGCTGATGTACATGGCACGCTTCAGAAATGTGATTTTTTTCAGAAAATGATGCAAATTAAAATTCCCGGTGAACTATAGCAGTGGGTCATACCGTATAAATTTTATTAAAACCCTTACTTTTACGATACTTAGGAAATCTAAAAGAAAATCTAATAAATGCATATAGCATTATCCACTCGATATCAGGATAAGAACAGCTGTTAATAGATGAGCTGAACACAAGACTGTTTAAAGTGATTTTCAAGTTTTTTGTCTCACTTTATCAGTTCTTTATCCAGCTATTGTAAATCTTCTGTTTAGCCCTTTGCCTTTTTGCATTCAACAACAAGGATAAATAAGAGCAAATTAAGCTGGAGAAGAACACTTCTGTATGTTTTGCTGGTATAGAGATTGCATCAGGTGAAAGAAACTCTTGGAGGAAGATGGAGGAGAAGGCAAGTGCTAGGGGGAGGAAGTAAGAGAAAGATCTACAACATGGACTTAACTAGGTTCAGCTTGTAAAACGTGTAGTGTTTTGGCTGAAACTGCTGTTAATCAGTACTTTTTCCATCACAATGGGAAAAAAAAAATTACATAGAAATGTTTTTTGGAGAGATAGGAGAAGAAGTTTAAACAAATTACATGCTAATACATCTCCCTCTCTTTTTTTAGTCCTTTCTAAAGAACTGCTTGGTATTCAGCTTCATAAATTGACGTTTTTTCTTTATTACAGTCAAGTAAAATTAAGAAGGGAAGCAAAGGAGACTGTACTGTACTCAAGCCTACGCTGATGGCAGCTGTGCCTGTAAGTATGCAGAAGCAGACATGTTTAGCAAAAAGAAAATGATGCTTTCTAGCTTGTTCAGTTCAGAAAAATCTATTTACTAACATTGTTTTCTCTTCATGTGTAACTGTAAGTAACTGTCACTGCTAGTGAAACCGCAGAATATAGAAATTGCAGTTGTTATTGCTTGAGCTGAGTACTGATGCTGCAGATGAGCACAAGAACATATGCGTGCTGAAGCCAAGACCCTTTTTGATCCAAAACTGTGAATGTGTTCTAATAGTTACGAGTGATGATTTGCTGAGCTGCTGATAAAAGAACAGGGCACACACAGTCTTGGCCATTCACAGTCTGAAGCTCCTGTTTGCACGGGGGTAAGCAGGGTGGCCTTGGCAGGATGGACACGTTCAGGACGTGGGTGTTTGGCTGTTACAGGACTCAGCAAATTAAGCTAAAGTGCCTTAGTTGTTGGGGTGCTCAGTCTCAGCTGCTTGGCTCCAAGGGGACACTTAGGCTCAGTCTCTCCTGCTGTTCCTAGGGTAAGCAGGCCATGCTTTGCCTCCTCTTGTAGGAGAATATGAGCAGGAGACTGTAACTCCTCTTGCTTCTGTGGCTGATAGAGAAGACGTCTTCAGAGTGAGGGGTGGGAAGTGTTTTAAAACCACAGCTGAGGTTCAGCAAGCTGTTGGTAGAAATGCAGGGGGTACTACGCATTACTGCAGAACGCCCGGCGACCCGCAATGGTCACTCAATTGCCTGCCCTTGTCTGCCTCATTCAAGGCAAGTTTTCCAATTTAAATTGGTACAACATGAGGGTTCCTCCTCTCTAGTGATACTGGTGTGAGGAGAAAAACAAAGCGAACGGAGAAAAGGAAGGCCAAGTCACTAATTTTCTACTGTATTTTCAATATTACTTTCCAGCTATTCCAAATAGCCGCAAGCGGCCACGGTCTATAAATTGACTAATTGATCACACATGAAAAGCCTTACAGTTAAGCATTGTCCAACCAATGATGCAGCCATTTTCACTCTTACTGTATTAATCTGTTTTAAAGGAAAAATAATGGGAGGGTGGTTTATTTTAAACACGGAATTTAATTTATGCATGCTAGTCTAGTCTCTGGGGTAATTTTCCTTGCTTTTTTTTTTAATACTTTGTAGGAAATAATGGACAGAATTTATAAAAATGTCATGAGTAAAGTTCAAGAGATGAACTATATTCAGAGAACTCTGTTCAAGATAGGCTACGACTACAAACTGGAACAAATCAAGAGGGGATACGATGCACCCCTGTGTAACGTGTAAGTACAATTCACAGTCCAAGTGTACCTCTTCGCTCATGATTTGCTACACAACAGTCTATTATTCTTTGATAATCATCTAAGCTATCTGACAGCAGACAATTCTCATGCAAATATCATCTAATGATTAACTGAGATAATCCAAGTTCTTACTGGAAACGGACAAGATATTTAGTGTGGGAATGACTAATCTTCAGAACAGATGACGAGTTAGTTTTCCTTGGATTGCTTTTTTTTTTAACTAATAAAATTGGAATGTTTGTTTAGTGAACTTACAGGAATTCGGCCATCTTCCAGTGTTACACAAGAAGCGATGTTTTTGATTATCCCTGCTGTCCACTAAAATCTATTCATGGTTAAGCTGATTTTTAAGGTGTTCCAGATAGGAAGGAAGAAGGTGGTTTGTGTCTTTGTCTTTTTATAATAAAGTGAGCTGAGTGAATGATTTTTAATGCTTTTCTCCTTCTTTCAAGACTATTGTTTAAAAAGGTAAAGGCACTACTGGGAGGGAACGTCCGTATGATGCTTTCTGGAGGAGCACCACTCTCTCCTCAAACACAAAGATTCATGAACATCTGTTTTTGCTGTCCTGTTGGTCAGGGCTATGGACTAACAGAAACATGCGGAGCTGGAACAATTACAGAAGGTAGTTAAAAATGCTTCTGGAAATACATAATTTAAGATGTAGATATATATGAGGGTTTGGTGGCTTTTTTTTTGTAAATTCAAAATAGCTGTAGTTCTTACCTGCAATAAAGTAATTTAAGCTAAGCTACCACCTTATTTATGGTTTGAGTTTATATTTCAAATGATAAAAATCTTTCTATTCTCCCTTGTTCTCTCCCTAAGTTGCTGATTACAGCACTGGCAGAGTTGGAGCTCCTCTCATTTGTTGTGAAATAAAATTGAGAGACTGGCAAGAAGGTGAGAGTATTAAATGTTTGGATTTCAGAGTAACTAATTTAACCACTGCTTAGCTGATTTCTTTGCCTATCTGCTTAGCTGCATGTAGCATATGAAGTAATTGTTCTTTATCTGTTGTAATAGTCATGAATTTGTGTGCATTAACTTCAAGCTGAGGTTTTAAAATATTTTCTTGGCAGCAGAATATATAAGTTAAAAATAATTGTGTGTGGACTTTGTTTTCAGGGGGCTATACTAATAGAGACAAGCCTAATCCCAGAGGAGAAATTATAATTGGTGGCCCTAACGTCTCAATGGGATATTTTAAAAACGAAGAGAAGACAACAGAAGAGTTCTCCATCGATGAAAACGGTCAGAGATGGTTCTGTACAGGAGATATAGGGGAATTTCATCCGGATGGGTGTCTGCAGATCATAGGTTGGCCTCAATTTTTGATATCTTAGTATATTTATTACAAGGTCTTGACTAAACATAATTGTAAGCATGCTGTTAATCCTGCTGGCTTTGCCAGGGCTAATCTACTTAAGGCTACCTGCATGCAGAATCACAGTGTAAAACACATTCCCAAAAGTCCTCACAGCTGTAGGAAAATTTTGGAAGTGATGCCATTTCCTGTGACATGATCACTGTCTAAATTTAGCACATGGACTTTAAAGAATAAGTGTGTGTGTTAATTAATAATGCATATTAATAAATGTGTGATTAATTTTTGGTATTGGTTACAAAGCTTTAAAAATCAGAGTCCCCATTACTTTCATACAAGTTGCATGTAGTGCTACACTAACTTTTTTACACAAGCCTTTGTAAAGTTGGCAGAATATGTATATGCTATTAGCTGCTTTAAAATTTTAATAAGATGCTTTAATTCATGTTTATTAAGAATCTTGCATAGCATTGCACAAAATACATACATAGTGGCTTTGGAAATGAGTCTGTGGAAATGCAGAAGTTTAAATGGAACAAAGTGGTGTGGTTTTTTGTCCCTTCTCTCTCGACTCCTAGATCGTAAGAAAGACTTGGTAAAGCTACAAGCAGGAGAATATGTATCTCTGGGCAAAGTAGAAGCAGCACTGAAGAACTGTCCATTGATTGACAACATCTGTGCTTATGCCAAAAGGTAAGAGTGGAATTAATTCAGAAACTCCATTTATGGTAAACATGAAATACAGGCTCTGACCCACTTCTCTGATGATACACTACAGTTTTCCATGGTGTCTATTGCACAAACCCCCCTACCAGAGTGCAAGCTGTAAGCAGCATCTCTGCAGTAGCACACACAGGTGCCCAGATTCCCTAAAACCTGAAGAAATGACCTGTTTTTCTGCTGGCATTTCCCCTATCCTAATATGCTCCTGTTCCATCCCATCCCTTCTCCAAACAGTTATCATTATATTTAGCATGTGTTTTGGCTTTCTTGTCAGAATACCAGAGAAAAGTTAATTGGGACACTTTGCACCTGATCCAAAGCTCTCCACTGAGTTTTGGACGCAGTCCTGGGCTCTCCTCTCCCTCCCTTCAGCTTAAACACACTCCATGAAGGGAAACTGAAGAGAACCAGCTAAACACCAGATGTAGCTGGGAAGCAAAACTGACAGGCACACTCCTGAAGTTACAGCAAAGGGTGATACTGATCAAACCTAATGCTGTAAACCAATTTAGAATACCTTGGATAAGTCATCAGTTGTGAAGACGTAATGTACAAGAAGGATTCTGTATGGGGGAACAACTAGCGTTCAAAAAGCACTGTGGATCTGTGTGTCTAACCTCAAGTAAGCATTGTAGTCCCTGAAATGAAGTCTCAACTGTTTGGATCTTTTTTCCTTCCATCTCCTGCCATCCTGTGGTAGCGACCAGTCTTACGTGATCAGTTTTGTGGTTCCTAATCAGAAGAAGCTGATGGCATTAGCTGAGCAGAAAGGCATCAGTGGAACCTGGGCAGATATTTGTAACAATCCTACAATGGAAGCTGAAATACTGCAAGAGATTAAAGAAGTGGCAAACAAGAGTAAGTAAAGCAGCATATTGTGGTATCTAATCTCATGGTGCTTATGCGGCAAAAATATTTCAGTTATCCTCACTAACTGCTCTTCCTTCTTCCTGTTGCCTCTGTATCTGCCAAAACGAAATAGCTTAATCAGAGGCAAAGACCACAGCAAGTTGTTGCCTGTTATCCCAGGAACCGACATACTTTTTGGTCACATTAACTACTTTCTCTTTTTTATTTTCTAAAAAAATGTGAGGGTTTTTTCCAGCTAACTTCTAGAGACAGGTTGCTTGCCAAATACAGTTCAAATAAGGTTCAAAAGAACTGTCAATTCGGAAGGAAAGTTGCAAGGCGTTTGCTGATAAGAAAAACAGTTAAGCAAGAGATCTCAAAGCTTTTTTTCCCATGCAGCTTTGTCCCCTACAGCTTTGAACAACCACGATCCTTGTGGTTGTGATGGCTTAAAAGCCTGCTGTTCCTTCCTCTGGTACTGAAGGATCAAAAGCTTCATCAATCCTTTAAGGGGCCAAAAAACTAACAAACTGGGGAAAAAAGTCTCTAAAGCACTTGGCCCCTCATACAAGGAAGTAGTAAAACTGAACTTCAGCACATGCCAAGCACTGCCTCTCGAACTTCAGAGAGGAGAACCTGCCTTTTGAAGCTGAGAAAACAAGAACAAAAGGCACTATTAAGTCTTGCTTTTAAAAAAAAAAAAAAAAAAAAAATCAATCCACAGGTCTCAGCCTTGAGTTTAAACATTTTAATCTCTCTTTTTCTGTCATGAACTAGGCAAATGGCTCTCCATATAGCTTTGTCTATTCAAAATCTTTGCTTATATGTTCTTTCTATCTTCTGGATAGATACAACTTGATACCTTGAGATACAACCAATTTATTGGAAGCTTTTATCCAAAACTATTTTAAAGAGATCGTTCTCGTGTTTAGCAGAACATAACACACCTTCATCATGACCAGGCATATAGATCTAAATAAGATGAAATAGTCCATGACAGTACCAGTTTGAAGTTGGAGACAGCCAAGTTCCTGGGCACAGCCCAAGAGTCAGAGCCCAACTGTCCGATGGGTGCTGCCACCCAGTGCCTGTGCTGCCACAGGTGGTTGTAGAAATTCAGCTACAGGTCTATGTGTGTAGGATCCTATAACGGGCCTATATCCAGGAGCTGATACCAAAGTCCATCCTGTATTGCACACATGCAGCAGCTCCCTGCCCTGTTCCTGATGTCCCTGCCCTTCTCCCTGGAGCTGTTACCCACCTCCTCCCTTGCTTACTCCTCTTTGGCCTTATTGCTGGGCGAGAGATGAAAGCAGCTTTGGTTGCAGTGCGGCTGCACGCGTGCCAAGGCACTGCTTCCAGCTGAAGGGAAAATAAGTGAGTAGTGTAACAAAAATACAGAAAAGTCCCTTTACTTGGAACTCTAAACAAACTCTTAGGAAGGAAGAATTTGGGAAAGAATCATTCAACCATGGAAAGTACTTAATTAGAATTTAAATATGGAGCACATCGGACTAGTCCGAGTCAATCTTATTACTACATTCATATAATAAAGATACAACTCTAGATTTCACTGTATCCTCTTGTGACAGCAGTCTCAGATCTTCAGGCTACACACCCATTTGTTGGAAGCTTTAGATGTTACACTGTCACAGCCAAAACCAGCTGTAGGTACAGCGTGCTAGTAGAACATTTGCACACTAGCCAGCACTCGGCATTGGTACAAGATTAAATTTGCTGTGGCCCTTGTGTAACGTTACTTCATTAAGTAGAACACCATGTTATACAAGCTACAGGTGCTCACCTTCGATTTTCAGGTACCATGAATTAGTATTTCATTCGGCTGTATCATTATAGTCATGCTTTTGTTTCTTCTTGTCCCTGCAGTGAAACTGGAAAGGTTTGAAATACCCATCAAAGTACGGTTGAGCCCTGAACCGTGGACCCCAGAGACTGGGTTAGTAACAGATGCTTTCAAGTTGAAAAGGAAAGAACTGAAAAACCATTACCTCAACGACATCGAAAGAATGTACGGCGGCAAATAAACAAGTTGTGCTGACCAGACAGTTGTGCAGATGGGTCCTTCTCATGCCACAGTTTTGGATGTCTGTGTATACTGTAGATGTCACACATTCAGAAAATGTACCAAACAGATGAATGTTTCTATAATCTCTATCAAGTACAACAGAGACTGTCTTAGACTCCAGATTTCTTAATTATTAGCAGAACACACTGATGGTCTTCACAGAGTTTCGTGTGATCATCTCCAGTTTTGAGACAGACATCATTATGTGAAGTAGTACGACCAGGTAATTTTATTATTATTGTTTCTCTAGCACATGCAGACTGCTTGCAACTCTGATTTATTCTGAACTCTGGCCTGTATTTCGAAGAGAAGAATTAATGTAATTGTGATGATTCTTCTGTCATAGTAAGATACTTGGCAAAGGAGGAAAAAAAGAGTATTTAAAGTCCACCCTTCTCCATTTAAAACCAAAACCAAGATGACAACATTAGTCAATAACTCGCTAGAGATCACTAATAATGCACTGCTTGAGAATGGATGGATTCTTCCGCACATCAATTAGATGTTAAATATTTACAGTGCCTAAAAAAAAAAAAGTACACTTAATGAAATGAAGGTGAACTGAAAAGCTTTCTAAAAACAAGTTATTTGAACTCTCATTCAAGAGTGCTGAATTAACTATTTCAGCTTCCAGCTCACTGAATATGTTTTTACTTGCCACTGTATTTTAATTCAAGCAGAGCTTTCCAAAACAAAGACTTGCACTGCGACAGGAGCCACCGATGAGAAATCATCACCTGAAAGCAGAAGGCAAAACTTGCACCTTGACTGGCAAACAAATGGAAATTGATGGGCAGTTTTGAAACCCAAAGGAGTTTCATTTTTCGGTTGGTTTTTCGAGGGGTGGCTAGTGGGTTTGTTTTTAAGGCACTGATCCTCTAGACCTCCACATACATGCGAGTACAGGTTACCTGCGTGTAATTTAGAGGATCAGGGTCTAAAAGTCCATATTCACTTTATGGAAAAACTTTATGGAAAAGTATTTCCGTTCACCTTTTAAATGTGGTAAGCATAACGAGGCAATCAGAAACCAACAGCAGTGTCCCCATTTACTTACGGAAAAGCAGTCTGCGGCCAGGGAATCTTTGTTTTATGGAACTTGTAAAAGGGACAAATCACTCTTTGCAGAAGTTCATGATAAAAACGTTCTCTTATTAACTGGAAGTCGTAGATGTGAAGAAGTGGGAAGATACAATTTAATAATAGTTCCTCATTCTGTGTGCAGAATCCTGTACTGTGTCTTCTTTTGACTCGTAACTGAGCTCCTCCATCCCTGCTAGCTCTTCACACTTGAGCCATAAATGCTGTAACAAGTGGAGGCTCTTGATACTGTTCTACTTTGCACTTTCTTAATCATTTTAAATATGTTGCTTACATTTTGTACAGGTGCAGCCCTCAACTGCTATATAGTTCAAGCTCATTTTTAAGTATTTATAGATTTCTTCTATTCATAATATTTGTGTTGTGTATATGATGGTTAAAAAGAAAAATTATTTGGTATTGTCACTGTACAGAAAGTAAAAGATTTTGTACGATGTTTCTCTTGAACACACTAGCTTGCAATTTAAGGCCAAGTGTTTTCTTTATCGCATGTAGTGTATTTTTCTTTTTTCCAGTTCAGACTGATTTTGGCAAAAATAAATCAGGGTTATATACTCATTAATTAAACCATCCCTTCTCCCTGGGACCAACTTCAAACTTCCCCATGACGAACTTTCTCTGGCCAGTCCAGAACACTGCCAAATCATCTTCCAAGAACCCCGAGGGGAAAGGGAAAAATCTGGTGTATAAAGCTGACTGTGTCTAGTTGTGCATGGAACTAAAGCAGTCACTAAAAGAAACAAGTAAATTACTTTTCTCAAAATTAATTTATTTTTTTTAATGACACCTACAGTTGGTTTATGACAACAGGAAATATTTCCCATATCAGTAGCAACTTTTCAAATGACTGTCCTGGAGCCACCTTACCAATTTATCCGTGTTTAAAACTGGTCACTACTAAATAGCCTTTGGTCAGCCTGTCAGCAGCACAAGAGTTAAATACCTGTAAGAAAGTTCCTTGCACTTGAGACTGTCAGCAGGTTGTATGATTTATTTTTTTTTAATCATGAATGTATTTATATGATAATGTATTTTATCTAGACTGCAGGTATCTTCTGTGTCTTGGTTGACTGAGGATTGCTATTTTTAATATCTATGTACACACACATATACAACGTTAACATTTCAAAAGTGGAATACAGTTTAAATGGTTCAACAAGTTTGTGTTCCGAAAGATGTTTGTTTATTGCAGTTGTCTCCAGTTACTGTCCAGCACCTCACACTCTCTCTGAAACCAAGTGTACCTTACAACTTCTCCAGAGCAGCAGCAGTGAGTACGTGCCACAGATGTTGAAAACAAGGCCGAGACTGGGTCTGGTTTTTCCTCTAAGAAATGAACTAAACGTGGATGTGCTGCTAAAGACAGTTGGATACACAGCAGCTTTTCAGGCATTTTTGTAGAAGGGCAAGGATTGCATCAGGTTGGCTTCCAGTATAGGGATTGTTTGCAAATGCAATACTTGCAGTTTGGTAAGAGCTTTATCCTTGTTTTTAATGAATTCTGAGTCCTTTTGTGTCAGAGCTTGTGGAGAAGTAAGAAACAGAGGATGAGCAAGAATGCCATTCTCCCCATTAAAATAAGGAACTAGGATGCAGATGAACTGGTACTATATGGCTTCAGAACCATTACATGATAGTTACAGATGATACCTTGTACTTGACTGAAAGGAAATACAACATGGGACTGAAGCGTGAGGGAGCAGTTAATTTACTAAATGCGAAGGCTTCCAGAAAGCTCAAAATAGCTGCAAGTTTTTCAGAAAGCAGGTTCAGAACTTAAAATTGTCTTGAGAAACAAAATCCAGTTCAGGCATGTCTGATAAAAGATCACATTTAGGCCCTCTACTTCAAAACACGTGGGATACCCAGAGAAGGCCAGGGTATAACTACAGTGCTTGTGGGACTAGAAAGCTTGATCCATGAAGGGAGATGATAATTGAGTTCAGCTGGTCTGAAGAGGAATGAGATGATTAACCTTCAACTACATACAACATTGCCCTAACAAAGGCACAAAAGAGCTGTCACCAGTGGAAGAGGAGGAACAAAGAGTTAAGTTCACACTAACTGACATTTATTATTAGACATTTTAAAAGAAACGCAGAACTTTAAAACAATTCCTGACTAAATACTGAACTACTTGCTCAAGATCTCTGCCACCAAAAGTCTTTAGAGCCTCAAGAGTCAATGAAGGTTACACAAACGCCTTTCAGGAACAACTTTGATTGACAGAGACCCTTGGGTGGGGGCTGGAAGAGGAGACCTGGTTCCTGCACATCATGCAACAGCGATGCTGTGTGTAGAGCATGATGTCATTAAATGGCTTGCAAGGAAAAAGAAAGTATAAACAGAGAAAGGAATGAGTTATTCCCTTACGAGCACACGAGGTGGTGTTGAACCACCCAGTGCCACTTTAGTGCCTGTTACAACATCAGAGAACTTTGAGCATAACGCGATGAAGAGCTGCCTGCCCAGTAAGCTGGATGGTGAACTGCCCTTCCCATCAAACACTTTCTGGCTGTATAGGGAACAGGGCATGAGTTGAGCACATGGGTCACTGATTTTCAGTCAAAAAAATTGAACCCCAAATCTACCACATCCCAGAATGACAGTTTCAAATAACTACATCGGGTACTAATGATAAATTAGTGAAGTTCTGCAATTACATGCAACGCAAGAAATAAATGGTCATGTATTTGGTTTTGGTGTGGGTTTTTTTGTTGTTTGGTGGTTTGGGTTTTTTTTTACTGAGCCTGCCTAATGGCTGAGCTCTCTTTACATGAGAGTAAATAAATTTCACTTTTGAAGGCTAAAATTTAAACATTAGAATCTTAAAAATAACAAACAATGTGCATCTTTTGCATAAGATGCCACAAAAACGATTTACAAAATAGCGTCAGTAAAACTTGCCGTTGCTGCTTACGTGGAATTCTGAATGATGCACTCAGAAGTCAGGTATTCTACAGCAGTGGGAGCTTAACTAGATTAATAAACAGAACACACTCCCAGTTAGCTTGGTGCAAAGTAGGTTATTGATTGGTTTTTAGGTTTGTGCTTTTTTAACATGACAGGATTACATCAGCCATGGAGGACTAGGGCTGACTACACTAAATAGACTTTTTTGTTGGCCTGTCATTTTCATGTAATTTAATTTGAATGAGTCTGACAGAAATGGGGTGGTGTTTGCGCTGTTGCTTTGCTACAGGCACTGCAGTGTCTAGAATCTTGATACACCTTTATTGGCGAGAGACTTGTTTCAAAGGAAATCAGATCCATACTATATTGGGAAATGGGAAAGGTTTTAACAAAGCAGATTATCACAGGTAATTTGTCCAAAACTGTCTTTAGTCAGAAGTGTGTAATCTTGACATTGGACCAAAGCTAATTACATTGACAGCAGAGCCGGGAACAGAGTCTGATCCTCAGAGTCCTCACCTATGCTTTTAAAACAAAACAATCTGTTGCATTTTTCACCTGTTCTCCCATTTTGCAACACCAATAACCTGGTTCACAATGAACATCAGCAGAGATGGCACAAGTCACCATGTGTTTGTTGCACGTGCTTATTCCTGCATTGACCCTCACCTGGCCTCTCTTACAGAGGTATGAGCACATCTGTGCCATCCTCGTCATTTCAGACAATCCAGACCCTGAGCACAAACACCTATCGCTCTGAGAGGTGATCTTGTATCATCACAATGCTAAAGCAAAAAGATGTCAGTTTTACATTTTTTAAAACACAGATAAGGAAGTGGCAGGGGAGGTAATTCAGCACTTCTTGATTTGAAACAACGTTGGACTACTTTTTACAGGCTCCTGTTGAGCCGATTTAAGAACAAAACCAGCCCAACTGCAACTTTGGGTGGTGGGTCCGCATACTGTTCCAGTACTTCACAAAAGTCCCGGCCCTGGGAGGTGATGTTGGGGTTTTTATTTGTTTTAAACACCGCAGTATCTAACCCAAAGCTTTCCTGCTGGATACAGATCAGCTTATTGCTTACGGTGCTCCCCCAGGGAGCGAACACGAAGGACAGGACATTGTTTCTGTAGCTGCCTGCCCTACTTTACTTTCCGTCTTTCAAGTCTAAGCAAAGCCAACCTGACC